ATACATAAATACACAATAAATAAAATAAAATAAACTCTTCAGGTGATTCCAATATGCAGTCAAGGTTAAAAAACACTGTGTTAGAGGTTCCAGGATGGGATTCAAGTATGTATATTAACAAATATCTCCAGGGCCAAAATATGAAGAGCACCCCTGCTCTAGGACCCCAACTTTGAAACTAAGAGGATTTATTGGCCAGGGACGGTGGCTCACGCCTGGAATCCCAGTATTTTGGGAGGCCAAGGCAGGCAGATCACGAGGTCAGGAGTTCAAGACCAGCCTGACCAACATGGTGAAACCCTGTCTCTATTAAAAATACAAAAATTACCCAGGTGTGGTGGCGAATGCCTGTAATCCCAGCTACTCAGAAGGCTGAGTCAGGAGAATTGCTTGAACCCAGGAGGCGGAAGTTGTAGTGAGCTGAGATCACGCCACTGCAATCCAGCCTGGGCAACACAGCAAGACACCATCTCAAAAAAAAAAAAAAAGAAAGAAAAAGAAAGAGAATTTGTTAAACTCTACTCTTTTTATGTGTGTTTTTCTCAACCTAGAGAGACTCTGGGCTTCTCTGGTTCAGGACCATTTTGCTTATCCTTGCCACCGCAGGATGTGTGATAAACTTGTTTAATGCATGAATAAACACACAATAAAAAGAAATTCTGAGCCTAGCAAAGCTTCTGACTCCCCGGAATAACACAGGAGCCGTTCCTAAAGGGAGATAAGACCGTTAGGTGAGACCCAGGGCCCTTCTTTTTTGACTTTACCCTAGGCCAGAACCTTAATGTCTTCCAGGCTGCTCAGAAATAATCACTTCCAAGAAAACGTTTCCCATGGGAATGAGGAAATGAATAAGATCAGAGGTTGTGCCAAAGTGCCTGGCTTCACCCCAGCAAGGTCCCACCTGACACGTGGACGGATACCTCAGGAAGTGCTAGAACCTTGCCTCTGGGGCGGTTTGAGTTTCCTCCTTCTCAGGCTCTTTTCCCAGTCACAGAGACTCGCAGAGCCAGCAGGAGGTGACTCAATTCCCTTGAACTCATTTCATCTGTCACTGGGAAGCAGCGCCACTCCTTTACCATCACAAAATGTCCCCAGCCGGGCGCGGTGGCTCAAGCCTGTAATCCCAGCACTTTAGGAGGCCGAGGCGGGTGGATCACGAGGTCAAGAGATCGAGACCATCCTGGTCAACATGGTTAAACCCCGTCTCTACTAAAAATACAAAAAATTAGCTGGGCATGGTGGTGTGTGCCTGTAATCCCAGCTACTCAGGAGGCTGAGGCAGGAGAATTG